TTTTTTCTGTGGATTAAAAAACATATTTGTGTGGTTGGAATATAATTTTACATTAAGTTTTTCATCAAACTTTTTGAAACAATATATATAATTCATTCTGACGTAGCAGAAAGTTCTTTTCACATCTTCTGGCAGAAAATCATAGTCAACAGATCTAAATAATATTACTTATGAATATCACGTATGTGAAACAGTTCGAACACCAGTATGGTGATAAGTTGTTGTTTTTTTTTTTATTGTGAACCAATTTCGTATTTTCTATTTGAAGAATTACCTAATATCGAACTTCAACGATTCGGACGATATCCAGTAGAGTCATCTACCAGTTCTAGATGACTGGATGGTCACTAAACAGTGTGCACGTTTATTTTCGATCCACAGACTACTAGGCTAGCACCATTGAGTGCATATTATGCTTATTTGCTGAAATGGATTGAAGAGATATCAGCATTCAATGCTGGTACTTTATATACATCCTACACATAATATATTAGTATCCATACCTAATATTAGTTCCTCCGTAATATAATATTATGATATCTATGACCACGCATATATTATTATATCCGACTGGAATATATTCCTACAATAGCTATAGGTTTCCCATTCGCAGGTTGTACGATGATTGGAAAATACGCGGCGTAAGCACGGTAACCCACGACGATAAGAAATGTAAATTTGTTTTTTATTTGTATATGCCTTCAGGGATCTCCCTTACAGGTATCTCTATTGCCGGTTTACTGCGTTATAATGAACAATATTTCCAYGGGAATGTGTTATAGCTTCTGATACTCACCGCAGTTGTACACGACTTTCAAGTACATCCTGGAGGCTGGTTTGCAAGGGTTGCCGAACGTCGCCGCATCCGCCGCTAGTCTACAATTTCTCTTGCCGTGGCACACAGTCATCACGGTCTCCGTCGCATAACTCACCAGACACGCTAGAAAACAATTAAACGTTTCAATACGGTCCAAAAGTACATTATTCTGATCGTAATTTTAGGTATATCATAATATCATAGCTGTAAAAACTCAAAAAGAAATAAATAAATGGAAAATTAGACGATCCTACAATATTGTTTCATACTTTTCTAATCAAAAAAAAAATTAGTTAAATTATTATATATCACTAGTAGTAKTGTGTTTTTAGGGTGTTCTGAGTGCATATTTACAGCGGGATGAATAAAGTTCTAGTCGAAATTACTGCCTTACACGCTCAATGGCGATTAGTGTGTGACCTAACCTAACCAACACATTATGTGTGGAATTTTTTTTTGTACTCGTACAAATATATTTGTTATGTCAAAATGATGTTTTAATAMATTTTTAAAAGTTTTATTCATTAGCTAAAAGCATTTTCAAGATGTATTAAGACATGATAAATTGCTATCCATTTATCTATTTGTATGGTTAAAATAATATGTTCTTTATACAGGTAAAAAAATGTCATGCATTATGTGTACACGGTAATCGTTTGTAGCGTATAAGTCAGTAATGTCCGGTTGAACTGTTTTTATCTTCCTGCAAAAATCAACCGAGAACCTCCAAATACATAGGTACAACGACTATAGTGCTACCTTTCTGTTATAAACGTTCTGTAGAAAAATATGTTTTTGTATCATATTCAACTCTCAAATGAAAAAAAAATGTAAGCAACGATCAAAACATACAGGTTGCAATAACATAACTCCTTATTAGTATTTTCAAAATTACATTGCTCGTTTGTATCAGATTTTACAGTCAAAGAGTTGGTGTTTTTAATATTATTTTTTTTAAATAGTTATTTTGAAAAGTTTTGGTAATTTTTTGATATTTACTCTCTTCCGGAACGCCTTGTGGTTGCGGACACTGGATACTCTCGTACTCTGTCCGGCCGTAACTCGCCGAGAACATGGCTAGTCGGGAATTCAGATTGCACTGCAAGTTGACCACTTCGTTTTCACACGCCACTTTGCTCCTGAACTCAACTGTCAACAAAATAAATATAATTGTCATATCATCAGATCTGGCTACACTGTATCTGTATAATACGTATAATATAATTTGGTATCGTCATCRTAGGTAWATGAAGTAGCAGGTGACGAAACTCGTTTATTGATTTTGGATTCTTTGTGAAAAGTTGTGAAGCGTCGAGAAAAATGAAATAAAAAATATTTTAAACATGAATACACAGTTACCTACGTCTGCTGTCGTTTTAGACATCTAAAGCATTTTATTTTTCAATATCATTAATTTAACTGAATTAACTGAATTAAGTGATCTGTATGTATATTGGTGTGCTATTCACTGCCTAAACAGACGGCAATGTTTTAAAAATGTTATATTTGATGCAACTAAAGTAATTTGTGAAGTTAATTGTAATATTTTCTTAGATTTTTTTTCATTGTAATTTTAACATTTAATTAAAGTACCAATTATAATTGATACGATTATTATAAAATTCTACATGCATTTAATTATTGGTTAAGCAAAATCAGCAAGAAAGTATATCATCTCAATGAAACTTTCGTAAATATTAGTTTTGACGATGTATACAATTAATTAAAAGTCAATAATCTTTTGTAACTCAGTAATAATAACCGACTTTTTAATACTCAAAATAATATTTCGATGTAGAAAAAATGAAAAGTTATATCATTCATAGGATAAATTATTTTTCTAAACTAAATTGTATTCTGTAAATCAATTTGAATAAATTTTATAAGAGTAATAATATACTTGAATATAAAATATATACTTTTTGTAATTATAGGATTCTTTCATGTAAAAAACTCCTTGCATAACCATTTCAACTTTGTTTTTAAAAATTTTGTATTTTTTTTTCTTATTGGTTTAAATTTTCAAAATTATGGTGTAATATTTATACACATATTATTTTCTATTTACATAAAACGGCAAATGGGATCAAATCCAGTGCATAAATAAATAAAACTAAGATTGGCATAGAATGATATAATACATTTAAAAATTCAAACTTAACTTCTTCAAATTATGTATTTTTATTTTTAGTCTAAACTTCAAATTATTACATTTTATTCTATTGGTATAATTTTCAATTAAATGATAAGTACCTTGGTTGTTATGTCAAGCTCTCTTCAATCTTAAATCGAGTGGCTTCTGTTTGAATTTAAAATGTTATTGATTTATGGAAAATTTTTAGAAATGGTCATCGGCTTTTTATTTTCAAATGTTCAGTTGATRTTTTAAAATCTACGAGTATTTTTATGAACTTCTATTCAATTGCTTCGAAGGAAAAAAACGAATCCAGAAATAAAAGGGTTAAGTCAAAAACAATAAACAGAGTTGTTTTAATGATTAATAGCCGAGTCGAACACAATGTCCGACAAGGAGAAAAAAAAACAGTAGTTATTAGGTATATTGTTATATTATTATTACTATTATTAAATACAAAACGAAAAGAAACGACATGGTACCGAGACTGWGCGGTGTTGGGCACTTGTCTCGCTACGTTCACCCCGGGGCAATCCAGTGTCGTATTATTATTATAAATCATCGTATTCGAAAAACGAATTTGAGCTGGCTAGGTTTACTTTATGCGGTGTACTTYATCCGGACGTTTTTCACGCTTTAAATGCACATAATATAATTTATATACTGCACCACATATATATTATAAGTACCAAACCTCTATTTTCAGGGGTTGTTTAATTTTCGCGGTATTTGAATGAAACGACGCGCGACGATTTAATAGTAATAATAATAATATCGCGAAGTTTCCGACAACCCACGTCGACCATAACATTGTTATATATTTAATCCTTTTTTTTTTTTTGAGTGGTCACCTGTTGTTGTTAGCTCGACGGGCTGTCAGAATATTAACCATATTATCTTATCAGTATTCTGTTGGTATTTTAAATATTATAATTTCCTGCCTCTACGAGTCTGACCTTAACAATAATATACATTAACCACGGCAACAAGCTGCTGTTATCGTTGTCCGCAGTAACAAGTTACCAAACATGACTACCTGTCCATAACACGCTGCACAGTTTGTCTCACCTCGTTTTTACTCGTACACGTAACCACCTAMCTATTATTTATACACCTCTACACCACTCTACCGCAGCTCAAAAACTTACAATACTATTTGTTAATAGCTATAGCTTATCATTTTAGCTTTCGAAATATTTTCATGAATAATTAGCTCTATAAATTTCTTTTAGAGCAATTTAAAAATTTTGAGGAAAACAGAGAATCAGATAATTAAAAAAWATATATATAATGATTGAGTTTCTCTTATACGGTTATAATATTAAGAAAATAAAAATGGGAAAAGTTATTGGCTTGAATAATCGATTCTGTATGTGGGTAGTAGCTGAGCTAAAAACATTTTCTCCGTTTCCAGAGTGCAGTCTGGGGTCAATCTATGGGAGGATAATCTTTTCAAAAACAAACAACCAAACTAGAGAGGAATGAGTTTATAGTAAGTTTTTTCGGTTTTGTTTGTTTAGTTTGTCAAAAAAAAAATTATCATAATATTAAAAAGTTATTCTGTGTCTATACGATTTTTTTGGTGCTCACGCTCATCACGATTTCCTCAAATGTTATTGATAAGAAAATTGCCATTTTAAAGTTCAGGTTGGAAATCAATTCAATAATTTAATTGTAGCAAAGCGATAAGACTTTTATAGAATCGTTTTATTCGTCCTGACTATGTGAGCACAAATAAAAACAGTAAAAAAATGCAAATACGAGGTAGCATTTATACCACATTTAATTATTATTGGTTCGACGTTTGGAGTTACCTATAGGTACCTTTTTACGTAGAAAATGGGGGGGGGCTTTCTTTCAAGCGAATGACCCAAAATAACATATCGTTTGGGCGAATTTATACATATCATTCGGGCGAAATTTACAAGGTCCCCTAATTTATCTAATACATCGTTTGGGCGAGCTAGAAATACCTATWTATTTATAAACATTTATAATTTATATAGTCTAATAGGTTTTCCTTCCCATTTTTAGGACTCTCAGTTAACTCTAACTGACATGGTTATAAATCTATTATAATATTATCAAATATATATATAT